ATCGATGATGAACAGATGAAAAATAAAGGATGTGCTCCATATATCCGCTCCTTAACTTCCCTCCCTCTTTCTATTTTTCTTCCTCTCGCTCCTCTCGTATGCTCAGAAGTCATCTTCCATTTAGCACTTAGTGACGTTTAGTGTTACCACGTGTACAATAATTATCAATATATATGTATTTAGAATGTATCCCTTTGTTAAAATATAGGATCATTTAACTTGTCGTGTTTTTTTTTCTTCAGTTTTTCATGTGACGGTCAGGTATTACACAACACTGATCTGCCATACCGGTGTCCTGGTCTAAAAGGTTTGGGAACTACCATAGTGTACAAGTAAGGGTGAGAATGCAACTAACTAAGTTGAATTTTGGTATCTTATAAGTCCATGTGGGCTGGGCACTTGTATGTTCATGAAACAATAAATAACTCATCCCAAAACTGCACTGTTCAACAGGGGGCTTGATAATCTCACGCCCTACTAACTGAGCTAGCCAGGCACATTAGAGATGTCCTTATGATCATTGGTCGTTGCGGATGAAGGCCCATAGGAAGTATATAAATACCGTAATTGAAGTGGCTGTATGCCATAGCGCTGCCTCATTAAATGGTTTAAAGTTGTTTTTTGATAAATAAGCCAAATTCTTGCTGCAGTCACAGCTGGAGAAACCAGTGGCCTGTGCATGCACATGCTTGTGTTGCTTGTGTCTGTGTTTGTGTGTATGCGTGTATGTGTGTATCGTAGTGTGTGTGTGTGTGTGTGTGTGTGTGTGTGTGTGTGTGTGTGTGTGTGTGTGTGTCAGTGAGGTAATTTGGGACACAGCACTAATGACCAAATTATAATTCAGCTCATGCACACAAGCAGGATAGGCACATGGCCTAACACACACACACACACACACACATACACACACACACACACACACACACACACACACACACACACCTACCTACACACACGCACGCCACACACACACACACACACACACACACACACACACACACACACACACACACACACACAAAGAAAAAGCAATAATTTGTGGCTGCATCTCCCTGTGTTCAGTCTGTCTGTGTGTTTTGTTGCACACATTCATCCATGCGTGCTTGTGTGCTTGCATGCGTTAACATGTGTGTCTGTGAGTGCGTGTGCATGCATGTGAATACTGTACGTCGATCTGTCTGCACGCCCGTCCCCTGCCTGTTTGAGATGACGAGGTCACTGGGCCGAGCCTCTTAACTTCACAGTTCAATTTGGATTTGCATAATCCTGGCGCTAATTTCCACAGGGTGCATCCATTCAGTGTATCTCGACAGGTGACGGGGGTTAGACAGCTATCCCGTGTTCCACTGCTCCACCAACAGACCGGAGTGAGCAGACATGCACAAGAGCAGTGCAAGAAACACTTGATAAAGAATAACTGATGATTTATTCTTGGAGTCAAACGCACAAAGCCTTAAAGGACGACTGGAGCTGCGAAGGTACTGATTAAATTGGAATGATGTGAAATTAAAAGAAAGCAAATGAAAAACTGTTATTAATAAAAAGTGAAAGTAATCAATAGAAGATGGAAAATAAATTGCAGAAGAGACAAAGAGATTACTTCTGGATTGGTAAGCATACAGACTGCAGTGTTCATTTACAAAAACATCACAATGAATCATTCATTTTTAATTATTTTGACCCTCAAGGTATTCCTTTATAAAAATGGGCCTGTGGGCTGTTTGTCACTCATGCATAAAGGAGGAATAAAAAGTATGTAAAAGTATAATTAAAGCTTTGTTTAAAAGTGTCACTCGCACATCACTGTAAGCCGCTCATGTAAACAAATCTTGCCTCAACACAAATACGGATTATGTAGGAGAAATGTATGCATGTAAACAGCATAGTGAGACTCTCCAGTGTGAGCGCTTCACATTGTGAAGCACTGATAACCTTTATAATAAACATATCGTATTATGGCTAAGTTGCTAAAATTATTCGTTGTGGTTTAACATAAAGTTGGATTTGCAACCCTAAATTTCGCACTTCTTATCACTTTTGTCAGATCCTTCCCATCAAATGTCCATATCCTTTAAACTTCGCACTTCCAATATGTAACACAAGCTTTTTCTAAAGGGTGTTCTCTCATTTCGTTACTTTAACTATGCAGCTAGTGTCAGGAGGTGATTAGCTTAGCATAAAGACTTGAAGGAGGGGGAAACTGCTAGCCTGTCTCTGTCTAAAAAATTTAAAATACAGGTAGCACCCCCTTCTGAAGCTCGCTAATTCACATGTAAAATCTTGAGTCTCGTCATCACTACGCAGTTGCTTTTACATTTCTGTTGTGTAGGATGAAGCAAACAAGACACAGCATGTTAATTAGTGAGCTTTAGAGGCGCTGGTAGGCATATTTTCTGTTTTCCCCCTTCTTCTCCTCCTTATGCTAAGCTAAGCTAATTTCCCCCCTCGGTCTAGCTCCATACTTAATAAAGCAACATAAGAGTGGTATTCATTCTCTTGTCCTCCTCCCGGCTAAAAGGCAAAATTTATTTCCAGCCGAAGCTGAGATAACTAAAACTAATGTCACTTGAGTAATCTCTTGACAAAGATCCGGAGAGAAACACAAGACATTTTACATCTCTTTTAACAGGCTGTGTTGTACTTCCTGTGACTAATACATTCACTTTCAATTGTAAAAGAAGTAAGGTGCCTCTTTACTACAATTTCAACTTTAATTTTTAAAATCTTATGTCTGATTCACTTCAATTCTACTGATATTATAAATTTTAATTCAATCCAGTAAAACCTTTCCACATAAATGCAAATGTAGCACCCGTACCTGTAGCTATGTGTAATAGTACTATAGACAGGGCCCTAGGTACAGGTTAAATATAAGTAATCTATTACCTGCGCCTACAAATACAAAAATTACAACTCTTAGTTATCTTAGTCCCTTTATCTGACATAACAAATAACTGGCGTAATGGGCGCTTCACTTGTTCGCACAGGCAATCAAAATAAAAGGCAAGTGCAAGTTTATCGTCACTCACGATGGAAACCCTGTAGAGCAAAGACGAAACAGCAGCGACAGTCCATATCAACAGCACACAAGCAGGAGGGAAACAGTCTCCACAGTGGTCCAAAAGAGCTCTTCTGATCCTCTCTTACAGTTAATGTCAAAACGTCACCTGAATCAGATAAATCTGCTAAGCAACAAGAACATATGCTGATTCATGGCCATCGAACAATAACTTGTCTTAACCAATTGCTTCAAATGCAAAGCTAAGAGTATAAAAGCAAAGCTAATGACAATTATCCTAGGCTAACAATGGCTCTTGCATTTAATCACCAATTTTAGCCTTCCATTTGGATTTTTAACCATATTTATATCCATGTTTTTAAACTGTTCCTTTTTAAAACTCTTTGCTTTCTGATGACGACATGAATTATCCACATCCTGATGTCTGAATGTAATTTAGCCAGGGCTGCACAAATCATCCTCGAGAGCACACGCTGAAATATCCCCAATTTCACACATTTGATTAAATCAGTGAAGTTGTCAACACTCTAATCTAGCAGGAATACGGAAAAGCAGTTTTCCTCGGCGGCGGTTAATGGTCTCAAAGAACAGAAAAAAGCCTCCCATTTTCCTCGAGGGTTAATAGAGGTGACAGTTGGCTCAGTGGGACCAAGATGGCCGCCGCCGTCTGAGTTTGACCCAGTGACACATTTCCTGTCCCATCTGTCTGTGGCACCCAGAGGAGGCGAGAGTCCCCCCCGAAACACCAGGGGAGCAGGAGTGTGTGTGTGTGTGATGCTGCATCTCTATGTTGACTTAATGTTTACTCAGCGAGTCCCAGCTTGTCTCTGAATAATTCAGTCTCGTTCATGCACACACACACACACACACACACACACACACACACACACACCGACACACTTTGCTATCCCAGTGGCACCGAGGGTGTGCTGTCAACCCCTGCTGTTAATTTGTACCAGACGTGCAGAAAAAAAAAATCCAAAAATCCCTCTGATGCCCTTATTTTCTCCATTATGATCTGCCATCTTCTTTCCCTGCTGTCTTTGACCCTTAGCTTTCTCTCTCTCTCTATCTCCCTTCTCATTTTTCTGCTTTATCTTTCTGCCTGCCACCTGACTCTTCCTCTCTCTCTCTCATGCATAAGTAAATGTAGAGAAACACATCTTACTACTCCCAAAGTTCTGCCTCTCAGCTTTTAAAGATGCATGCTTGAGCAGTCTAGAAGGTGAGACACAAAGAATAAAGGCCTGGTCACATCACAGAGCGGTATCTTTAAGCAGTATTTCCTTCTAGAAGCTTGTTGGTGAATTTTTGTAGCTGGCAGACTAACTACTAACACGCTAGCCAGCTGGGACTTGGGTTGCCACCTTCAGTGTGGGAAAAAAAAGGACCTTGACACAAATCAAGCCGGGGGTCTGGGGGTCCTCCCCCATGAGATGTTAAGTGTCAGACGCTTAATTTGCTGCATTCTAGGGACTTTGTTTTTGCACCAATTTGTGTCCCCTGCTAGTCTCAACATGAATATAAAGCAAAAAAAAGTCGATATTAGTAAAGCACAATTGCATCAATTCTAGTTAGTATTAATAGACATGGGCAAAATGTTTGGTCTGTCAAAATAACCCCCCTCGGCATCCTCTGCCCTTACGCTTCTTGGACGTGGTAGTCCCCAGCTAAATGTTGCTTTAGGTTGAAAAGACCACCATGGGGGACAGAAAATAATCTATAGCAAACTGTATAGTGTGCTTTGTACTCATTCTCATTGACAGGAGTGATCCACTTGTGGTCCGTCATGTGTGATGGACAACTTTGCTGTCATTCTCTTCCGCAAATTCAGATTGTTTTTATGTCTTGAAGAAACTCTTTTGGTTTTATTATCATTTGACAATATAGTGTATGCATGAGAGTAGGGTGTGAAAATACAGGACCAATTGTGTCCCCTATTGATTCAGTGCATTTTATTTCTCTGTATTCTATGGGACAGATGGTAACTCTTGGTTCACACTGCCTACCTGAGCAGTGTGTGACGACTACAGCGCTGAACAGCTGCGTCTGGCCTGCGTGCGATGTTTACACCGACAGCCTGTCAGCTGTGTGGCTGCTGCTGCTGCCAACCCTGTCTGGTTGCTCAGGTAGGCAGTGTAACCCTAGCCTTCGACCATGCTAGCACTAGTCACAATCTTCTGTTTGCTCCTCTGGTATTTTTCTACCCCATTGTGTAACATTTTATTCAACAAAACTTTATTGATGATAGAAAACTTGTTAGCTCGTTAGTTTACCTTGGTTGTTAATGGTTCACTCAATTTATTCTAAAGATGTATTTGTATAATCAACTCCTGTTTCATTACTTTGTAGACCATTGCTCTTGTGGAAAGGTTTTGCTCCAACAAGAGGTTAAGTGAAAGTGAAAGATGCAGCACCTTCATTCTGAGCTCTCGGCTTTCCGTCCCCTCAAAGGTCAGCGCCACAGATTCTCAGCTCAAAGTTCATCCAAGTTGAAGGTAATGTGAAACATTAGTGTGGCTTTACGTTGCTCCCACCAGCAAATCCACTAATCGCTGCAATTCCACTGGAATGAACTGAATTCGCTGGCTGTGATTTTTAAGTGACGTTTTTGTAAAATTAAGTTTCAAATGCTGTAGCGACCGTGTTTTAAAGCAGGGCAGCGCCAACACTTCTAACTTTGACCTGTGACATTCAAGTGAAAATTACAATACACTAAAAAATGACTTTTAAATAATGTTGGTGCTCCTTTAGGTACCTTGAACTGAACAACCTATGTGCATGTGTTTTATAAATCATTGATGAAATCATTAAATAATTCTTTAATCAACTCTGTACCAGTTAATATTGATGCCATGCTGCCATAATGCGAGAGCTTCAAACTTGATCAATCAATACACTGCGTCTATATGGAAAAGGAGAAAGAACAGAGGAAAGGAGAGCAGCAGGAAAAAGAAGTGGTTAGAAAAATGTACAGAATTTACTAACCAGGAGTGGCACACACACACAGGGAAAGAACACAGACACACTCACTGACACAGTCATTTCCAGTGATCCCCATTTCACTGTATCTCCTGCTAACAATCCTTATAATCTTACAATCCTCAGAAATCTGATGGATCAAAGTCGCGCTCCTTCAAACCTCTGTGCTGTTCAGCACTCAGAGATGAAATACATCAAGGCTCAAGTGTGAGTCTATGTGCATGTATGTGTATGTTTGGGTGTGTGTACCCCCTTCTCTTCTCGCTCTTCCTCCTCCTCCTCCTTCTTCAGTACTGAACTGCCTGATCGTAGCATGATACAGCAAAATGCAAAACACATTGAAAGAGTAAAATAGCTGTTATTGTTTTTCTCTCCCCTCTATGACGTCGGCAAAAATAATGAGCACCTTCTCTCCTCTCCTCCTCGCCTTGTTTCCTCCTTTTTCCTCCCCTCATCTCCCTCCGTTTTCATACTTTCTCTGTTCTACTTTGTATAGCTCTACACGTTCTCCATTCATTTCCCTTTCTCCACTCCCCGCCTCCCAACCACTCTTTTTCTGCCCTGCAACAGAGACACTCAGGGGCGAACAATTCTCCTGAATTTATTCAGAATTATGATAGTGTCTGCTAAATCCTATTTATAGCCACTTTCACTTAATGTACTGTAAATCTGGGTGCGTAGAAGTGTCATGCATGTGTGTTCCTGCATGAAATCGGGCATGCGCATACAGTACACGTGGTTATAATCTATGTGAGTGATAGTATATATGTGTACGTGCACTTGTGTGTGCGTGTGGGAGGGTTTTTATGTGCCAGACTTGGTCATGCATAATGAGAATCCCTGGCTCTTGTCTGGGCAACCCCCGCTGAGGTGGGGTATAATTGATTAAATGGTTATTATACGCTTATCTACCATTATCTATAGAGCAATGCTGCGTGTGTTCAGGTGTTATCAGTATGTTTGGATCTACATGTGCTGCGTTTTGTGTAAGTCTGTTAAATACATGTGTATTCATGCATGTGTGTGCGTGCCAGCAGTGTATACAGTATGTGTGTACGTGCCAGAGTGTGTACACGTAGGGCGGGCTGATGTATTTCTGTCCAATTAGCCAGTGACCCAATTCTCTCTGGCTGTCTCAGAGTCATTCTGTGGTTGTAATGGATTCACTCTATCATCATATCCAATCTCCCTGTCTGCATTACACTGGAACACCACTCAATTTAACTCGCACATGACGTTCCTCTTACCAAGGACAGTTCAATCAATATCTGTGGACTTGAACCCCCCCGCCCCGCAACTGCTCTCTCGTAAAAAATTTGGGGATTTTATCAGGATCTATAAGTTGGAGCTTTTCCACTGACTTTGATATGTTTGTGGCTTTAAAGGTGCCATACACACATGTGTTTTCTCTCCAAAATTGTATTATTTTATTTATCTAGTGTCACTTTTACATTTTCATTCATAGTGTCTTAAAACCACATAGAGCAGCTGTAACATTACTTCATATTGTGGCAGTAACCACCGAAACCTGACCATGTACACGTTCCTTATTGGTCACCTTTACTATCTTTTCCAATTACTTTCTGCTTTGTTCTATTGTTTGATGTGACCTTGGGAGGCCGGGTCAAACACACTGTTCTCTCTCCTTCTGAATATTGTTAATTAAAGGAATAGCTTGACACAAAACATCCTTATTAGCTTGTTACCTTTGGACAGAGTCAGGTTTATTTCCCGCCGTTTTGTGCTAAGCAAAGCTAAACGGCTCTTTAGTAAGCTAAATTTACCTTACAGACATGAGAGTGGTCTCAGTCTTCTACTTCTATTCTTGCAAAGGGAGCAAGTAAGTGTATTCCTTTAATACAAAGTGAATTGTTCAATAGGGCTTAGGAAAACAACATTAAAAAAAAATCTTACATTTGTGAACTGGACTTCTGGCAAGCACACAGCCAATTAGAATAACTTTACAGTGAGAACATAAATACTTTTTTATGTACGTATTGTCTTTTTATCTGCCTGCACGAAGTCTGCCAAAAGAGAGCTGAAGTCAGCACCATGCCTTGCGTAATTCTCACAGACAACTCCTTTACACTGTAACACAATTTTCTTGAAACATTTCCAAAGCGACGCCCAGGTATTGGTTACACTGACTTCATTTTCTTGATTTGATGTCACCAGTGGTCTGCAGTTGCAGATAACGGGGCCAAGCTTCCAGTTTGCTTAGAACAGCTAGAAATCTAAGCACCCTATTTCCAATGATAGAGATATTTATGCCACACCGCAATGAGTTCACCTTTTATCCTTGTGGTTCTGTCCCTCGCATACAAACATGGCTGATATCCAGGAAAGTCTTTTGTCATTTAGATTGACGGTCACTGAGTGACAACACAATCAGTTTAGTCTGGATGATTTTGGATGCGAGCCCATACATTGCTCTATCACATATCTGAGATGTTCTAGTATATCCAGGCTCCTATGGTTTCCATAGTTGCACACACTTAAGTATGTACAGGCACTTAATGCATTGCCACGTTTTCTCAAGAACCTTTAGACTGCATGTGACAGTATAGCTTGATTAAACCTGAAAATCCAGTAATATTCCATATACCCATGACTGTGCAGTTATATAAGACTATTTGTGCTATGTGAATAGCATTATTTAATTCACTCTTGTGGAAACACAATCTGAACATGCCTTCACACTTGTTATAACACACAAAGAGCATACACAAACAAAAAAGAGGAGGCTGGGAGTTTGTACCTCTCCTTTCATTTGGGTGTGCGTTTGCGTGATTGTGTATGTGTGTGTGTGCACGTGCAAGTGTTATCTGTTCATACACCTGTGTCAGCCAGAGACTGCATCCTGCTGCCCTACTCTCCTGTTGCCATGGTGAACTCCCTTTGGCCTACAGCAAGTGCATAGGTGTGTGTGCGCGAGTGTGTGTGTGTCTCTTCATGTGTGCAACTTCATGTTTTGCTGTGTGTGTGTATCTGTGTGCGCCTGCATGGAGACCAGTGTGCAGGTCTAAGTGTTTCTGTGTGACCATTTGTGTGTATGAACATGTGCTTGGTGTGCATGCACATGTGTTTGTGCGCAGCATGAGTGTTTTATCAGCCTGTGTTTTCTTGGGTGCACGTGTTCTCTGCAATCAGGCATTGAGACAGATGTGGGAGCAGGGGTGTGATGACTCAGAAATGGTGGGATGAAGAGGTCCTTGTCCTCTTTTAGTCAGGCTGTTTGTCGTCCAGATTCCCCTCTCTCTGTTGTCTTTTCACCTCTCCTCAAAAATGTCTCTTTTTACACGGGCTCTTATGAAAAATGTGGCATGAAGTACTAAATTAATCATTGTTAGGGCAAAACCTACATATTGCAACAAGCAGACAGCTCAATGATGTCTCACTAATATGTCACACGATCAATAGACAATTACAAACTTATCATTTGGCATCATTACAAAAAGCACTGCAGTGTCTATTGACTGGAAATACCATTATTGCTTACCAGAAATCCCACCACAAACTGGTTGTTAATGAAGGCAAACATACTGGGCAGCCAGCTAATGAGATGCACTTGTTTCCAAAGGCAGAGGTGACTGCATGCTGCTGCAGGGGCGGATCTAGAGAAATATTCTTGAAGTGGCAGGAGGGTGGCATGAGACTTTCGGAGGTGGCAGAAATATATTCTGATTTAATCGCAAACAAACACGTATATCAATATTTGCTTGGAAAAGCCTCCAAATAAAGATATTTTCACTCAAACACATTACGTTGTTGTGGCAAAGTCTAAACGTGGCGTCTTTTTTCATTGAACATAAGCCTAAAATGTGTCCATAAGAAGTCATTAAATTCATTTCCATTTTTAAACACGTTATTTTAACATTCATCTAAATTCATGTGTCAATTTGACAACATTTGACACCAAGCTGGGGTGGCAAACCATTATTTAGGGGTAGCAGCTGCCACCTCATACCACCCCTCCAGACGGGCTGCAGAAACTGCTGCATTCAGAAACTGACAGATGACGACTTTTTCAACCACACAACTCAATTTACACTTCAGCCATACTCATTTGTACTCACAAGTCAAGCAGTTACTTGGGAGGATATCACAGGGACAGAGGGAGGTCGATTACAGGCCAACAAACAGGACCTTTACGGTCACTGTGATGTGTGTGTTTCACAATCAAAGTTTTCCCGCACACGTACACTTACGCTCCACAACCTTTTTGATACACACTTGAAAGAAATAGATGAACTAGCTGGACTGAGACGGCAAATGAGGAATGGGTTCCAAGGTCTGGGTTAGTAATTATTTTTTAGTTAATGAACATTTCTTGGCTTGCGATATGTACCGCAGTCATAACGGCTCACAAGTGTAGTACAGTGGTTCCTAACTTGCGAGTGGGGACCCTTGCAAGGGGTCACAACATAAGTTTGAGGGCCCACGAGATGATTAACAGGAGAGGTGAAGGTGAAGCAGTGAAACACATTTCTGCTACACATCTTTATGCATATTTTTT